TCAAAGCCCTGACTATTAATTTAATTCACAACCATGAAATTTGACCTCACTTGTTTTACAATGCTCCCCATGCAATTTAACATAAAAGACAAATCTTTTGAGGTATTCCAGGGCCCTTCTGGAATACTGTAAAGTTATTCCTACATATTTTAACATTTTAACCCTTAAATCCTCAATAGCTAATGAAAACTAAAAAGTATGCAATTAATATCCTTTAGGCTGGCAGATTTATGAAGATATTTTATAACCTCCAGAAACATACGCTCTTTTACTCACAAATACATTAGATAAGCCCAAATGTTTTGCAATTAATGATTATTTTTGTAAGCCCAAGTAAAATAAAAACATGTGTGTTATATAAACCAACAAACTTACATTAACTTTTATTTACTAAGGCTTAATCTTAGATCATGTGAACATGGAAAGCATTTGAGTTAGTTTCCATGTTTCTGAGAATTTTAGAATAGCCAATTCTTGCCTTTAAATGAATTTTAACAGTACCATTGGGAGGTAGAAAATCGTCTTACATTTGCAACATAATGTATGACAGGCACAAATGGAGACCTTTTACCCATGAGAAAAACTCACCAGTTTACAAAAGAACAGTTGGATTCAAATTTTGTTTTGAAGGCACTTAAAATCTACATCTTTCCTTGACAAGTCAAGTTTCAAATGACCTTTCCTCTTTTAAAATAAGGACAGCCATTTTTGGATTTTTTTAAAATTTATTTTTAGAGAATGGGGAAGGAGGGAGAAAAGAGAAAAAGAGAAACATCAATATGAGAGAGGCACATTGCATGCACACCAACTGAGGACTGAACCCAAAACCCAGGCATGTGCCCTGACGGGGGATTGAACCAGTGACCTTTAGGGTTGTGGGACATCACCCAACCAACTGAGCCACAATAGTCAGGGCAAGGACAGCCATATTTAATACTTCAAAGAATTGGGTTGACACCTAAAGGACATCATAGGTTGATCCACTTATCCAAATCCTCTTTTTGAAGCTTCAAGAGACCAATTAAAAATGTTTTCCATTCATTCTGCCTAATTTTATAGCTGGCTTTTTTCTAATTGTGCATGCAAAGGATTAATTTAGAACTATCAAAGGATCCTCATCTTGGCCATCTTAATATTAATGGGAGGCTGATTATCCCGGGGCTTGTCAGACTCAGAGGCACTATTTCCCATGTTAATTTTAGTTTTTCATTTGAGATCTGTAGAGTGAACAAATTTCTAGGGAAAACCAGCCTTTACATGCACATCTCCAGACAGGCCAAACGTGGTGGATATCCCTATAGAATTGCTCCCTGCCCTGGAGGAAATTTTTCATCAGGAAACCCCTCTGAGGTTCTTAATTACCTCTGAATACCTGAGCAAGGCCCAGACAGAGCTTCCCAGGCGCTGCCCAAGTCACAGGTCCCGTCTCTCTCTCTCCGGGTGCACCCCTTCCAGGGTGCCCTGCCCTTCTCCCTGGGGCTCCTGCTGGCTTCTCCAGGACCAGTTATCTCATTGGATGCCTCATAGCACACATCTCTGCCACTCCAGATTTGGAGAGCTGCAAAAACTATTGTCATCCCTTAGGGTATTTGGGGTATGAAAGCAAGTAAGTGTCCTTTCTCTTTTGGAGCTAAAAAGAGTTGTCTCTTATTTAACCAGTAAAGATTTTTTTAGACTCTCAGTGAGGAATCCAATTAAAAAGCAGAAATTAGAAGCAGCAACCCATTTTTTTTCCATTCCCAGGATTATCTCAACCCTTATCCATCTTGAGGGTTTTCTAAGAGCAGCTCAAATAAAGTCATGGACCTATTACTTAAAGTACAGAGGCCAGGGATTTAGAGAGAAAGCTCACACCCCAAGTTCACCCACTGTGGAAGCGGGGAGCAGGCAGGACACAACGGGCCCTTGCTTGTACCTAGCACAGGGTCTGGGTCCACACTGTCATCTTGGTGGCCTCCTTCAGAGTTCTGCTGGCTGCTCCAAGTAAATGTCAGCATAAGAAGTGTCCAAACCCTATGGAGACGATTTATGAGTTGACTTGAGTCAAAGTGGCTGATGACAGTGGCCAAGAAGCAAGACCTCAAATGCTTTAGAAGTAACAGTTTTGCAGTTTCTTTTATGCATTTGAGATTAAGAAGGGAATGTGAGAGATATTACATGAAGGTGAGAGAAAGCAAAGTAGGCACTGGATTACAGGATATTTACCAAGATTACTATGCTCTCTTCAGGGTGGTTATGCTTATTTCAAGGCATGTTTGCCTGAAGGCACAAAAACAATGGACAGGGCTTGCTTAAGGCAAAGAGAAACCTGTTACTAATGATTACCCACCAAGACCTGCCCAGTTAGGAATTTATGATCAGGTTATTTTCTGGAGAAACCCTTCCTCATCCATCATGCTTTCAGGAGATGAGCCCCAAAAGGCTAGACCGACAGACCAATGGCTGTTGGCTTTCTGCATCCACCTGGCTGGTCATTTATAATGTCTGACAAATAGAAGGGATACTATTTATGGTATTCTATTTATTGATTACTGAGTTGTAATGGGCCCAGTTTTAAAAATGAAATGTAGGTCAACCAAAGGTTATACATTTTGTAAATCTAATTCATGTCAGAGGTTGGTTTAAAGCCTGTAATTAATTTAATTAAATGTAAAAGCTTTCTATCTGATATAACTAATGAAAGTAATGTTCTGCTTTAAAGAAATCATATTTTATTTTGTTGGTCTACCCTAAGTATCTGGTGGTCTTTTAATAATTTAATACCTGTGAGGAAAGACTGGGATTTTTTAATGAAATGGATATTGTAAATTAGAAAAACTTGGAGAAATTATGACTTTGTTTCTATTATATCCTGTGGTAAGAGATTGAATTACAAGAGCTCAGCCAGTTTTCAAATATATGCATTTATATTTAGACCTGTATGAAGCCTGGAGTGGGTGCACTTGTGTTAAAAACCTGGCAGCATCAATAACTGGAGGAAGAATCTTTTTTTTTTTTTTTTTTTTAAATTGAGAATACACACAGATCACTTTTTTTGTAAAGGACAAAAAGTCCTCAAAATTATCAAGAAAGAAAATTATACTTTGCTCTGAAACTTTTTGGTAAAATGCCATCAAGATGATTACTTATAATAAGGCAGTGGAAGGTATATGATTAAGCACACACTTACGGTTGTATTTATAGAGCTTCTTCACCTTGTAGAGGAGCTGTGCTCAGAAAGCTTGGCTGCTGACCAAACCCCTTTTTCTGTTGCTGGCCCGGGCTCCAGGCCGGGCTTCAGAGACCCCCCGGGCTGGCCCTGCGGACCTGAACTAGTCACTTCCTTTCTCAGGTCTGTCAGTATTTCCTTACCTGTGCAACAAAGCATGGATAAACAACTTCAATTAAAAACATTTTTAAAACTAACTAAAACAATATACACTCATCCTCCAGCCCTTAGGAAAATTCTGGAGCATTATAGTTGCTCAATATATATTAATTGAATGAATGAACTGCTTTTTTTAAAAAAAATAAAATAAAAAAAGAGTGCAAAGAAAAATATTTAAATCACCTATAATTTTAACATTTTGCTTCCTAGCCTTTCAGATTTTTTTCTTTTTTGCGGCGGTGGGGGCGCATATAAATATTTTTTCTTCTACTCAGTCGTGCACACTCTTTGGAGTCAGCCTTGTTCATTACACATTTCCCCATGACCTTCGCTGTCATTGAAGGATGTGGTTTCCGTGGCCTCATTACCCTCTCCCGTTTGAGTGGGAACCTCAGACCTTTTGCTCTGGTCTTGTTGTCTCCCGTGAATCGGGCTCTCCTGTCCGCCTTTCTGAAGATACCACAACCTTGATGGCCCAGGAGCACCTCAAACTCAGCCTGTTTCAAACCAAATTTATCCTTTCCTCCAAGTCCCTCTCTTCTTTTTTAGCCTGTTTCCCCCACTGTTAACAGCTTCACTCTCTTCTTTTCAGTGTTGGACCTTTGGTGGTTTCCAGTTGTTTTGGTTTTTGTTTTTGCTTGTGTATAACAGTGTGATGTAAATCATGACTCAGATTCTTGATGATTGACTTAGAAATTACCCCTCAGAGTAAAATGACTGGGCCAGCGCATATTATGTACATCCTGAAGGAGTTTAACACATACATCCAGATTGCTCTTTAATTCCTGCTCCCATAAACAATACGTTATAATTCTCACTCCATTGCACCCTAGCTACATGTGAATATTGACTTGAAAAAAAAAATCAATGCCAACTTAATATAAAACAACATAGAATTTCTTAATGCTTTTAACTAAGAACTTCTTTAAATACAGGTGAGGCTGAGCTTTGAACATTCTTTATATGCTAGCCTGAATGTTCCAGCTTTGAGTTTCTAATTCTATAATTAGAAACTTACTTTGGATGGCTCTTTATTGATTACAAAGTTAATCTTTACACTATTCATTAGAGGAAGGAAAAAAGGAACATCTCAAATGTTAACTTGAAACTACTAGATGTTAAATAGGGCTTTGGCCTTATTGAGGGTGTTGCAGTTAGGAATTATTTCATTGAACTTTACAGAATCTAGGACTTGCTTTCCTTCAGCGTCCGCCCTTAAGTTCTTTATGGTTTGCAATTCCACCACAGTTTCTTCCTTCAGCTCTCTGGACTGGATGTTTTCAATGTTTAACGGAGTAGTGCAGAAATCAAGGTTTTCATGATACTGTTGTCTAGGAGGAAAAACTTTTCCTATAACCTTTTAGGTTTAGTTATTAGGGTTTGCAGATTAAACTGACAAAAGACAGATCAGCAAGAGAAAAGATAGGTTTTTAAAATTCAGATACATGCAAGTTCACCAAAAAAAAAAAATGACTCAAGGAGACAGTGAGCGTTTGGGGCTCATCTCCCAACTTTACAGGGGAAAGGGCGGAGACAAAAGCACTTACTGGGAAACCAATGACTTTTGGGAAAGTCAAACGGGCCTTAAGAAATGGATGGGGTATAGGATAGGTTTTCTTTTGCTTTTTACCTTTAAAATAGGGAACATTTCACGAATTTGCAAGTCATCCCTGCACAGGGCCACGCTAGTCCTCTCTGCGTTGTCCCAATTTTAGTATATTTAGTATGTGCTGCCGAAGCGAGCGCGAGATGGATAGTTTTGTGACAAGGGCTGTTGAGGCGGGGTGCTAGGTTCTCGTCTCCGGTGATACGCCAGTCTTCCCCAATGGCGGCACTTCTTGTAACGGGCTTTATGCAACTGACTTTTTGGGGGAGGCTCTGCTTTTAGGCAGATAAGGGGGTTCAGGAAAACAAAGCCTATTCTCAAATTCCTTCAGCTCAGGATGATTTTTATGACATAGTAACATATTCTGGACCCTGTGACTTAATACAGAATAAGCCTAAGCTAAGAATTTTCCAGGTTGATGGTTAGGTTCTATTAGTTCAGTCAACAAGGATTTCTTGGAAACCCACCAAATGGCAGGTATTCTGGTTAGGGTGATAGAGATGAAAACCATGGTCTTTCTGCTCAATGGTGACAACTAGAGGCTGTGGGGCTCCAATTTATCCTGGCATTAATGATATGTTGTGTACGACAGACTATTGGATTCGCAGCCTTAACTGTGATGAGTGTGACTTTTTCAAGAGAATACTTGAGGTCTAGCATTTTCCCTTTTGTGAAGTCACTAGTCACAATACTTGCATCACCAAACTGTGTTTTGAGCAGGTTGTTTGGCTAAGTGAGCTTCGGCAATTACCCAGCGTCGACCCCTCACCACTTGGGGCTCCTCTTTTCACAGGACAAGTGACATATTGAGGGAAGACACTTCGATATTTCAGTTATATTTATCTAAAAGAGAAATTGCATGTTCTAGTGCAGTCATGAGTTCCTGAACCCTAAGGATCTGTTCTCAGATAAAAGCAAAGACCTTAAACACTAGCTTAAAATAAAATAAAATGTAATCTCTTTTAAAAGAAGAAATTATTTGAGACATAGACATAGAAATAGACTATAGTTCTGTTGTCTTAAAAGTCTTAGTTAACACTGATTAGGTAACGGGCTTTGGACAAGACTGAGCATTCAGCTTTCAAACATGCTCGGAGTCTATATTCCATATTAACATTTTCATAGAAGGATCCAGGCCAGGGCTGGCAATATTTCTGACAAATGAAATCTCAAATTAACACGCAATTATACTGCCTTCCATTTTGCTATTGGAAAAGTGAACCATCATAGTTATCCTTCTCATATCTTCGGGGGAAATGTATTGGTCCCCCCCCTTCCTTTCTCTCTTAAACATCAAAAGTATATTTATGTACCAGGCACTGTAATGGGCATACAGAGATGAAACTACATCAGAGATTCTGGGGGACGATATAAAAGTTCCCTAGAAGACGCTTGGGTTAAGCTTCTCTGGACTGAGAGAGGAAGGGCTGGGGAGGGAAACACACGAGTGACATCGCTCAGAGAGGGGCTCGGAGCGCTCCGAAGGGACCGAGGGGCAGTGTGTCCCTGGGCTGGGTGGATGAGCCAGGACGGAGGGACTCAGTACAAAGCTGAGGAGGTATCTGACATCCGGATCATGCAGAGAACTTATGGGACGTACAATAATTGGGGTTTTTTTTTCCTTCATCCTAAGATCAAAGGGAAGTCAATGAAAGATTGGAAGTAGCAAGCATGGCTAGGGACAGGGTGACGTTGCAGAGGTTACTGGTCCAGTCAGAAGGTGGAGGTGGCACTGGACAGGGAGGCGGCGAGGCGGGCGGCGGCCTGGGGGTGGGAGGGTTGCTGATGGATTGGGTTCGGGAATGTAAGGAAAGAAGAGAGGTAAAGTTCAAGAATGACCCTTAAGTCTGCTTTGCACAGTTGGATGGATGATGGTATGTTTAACTTTCAAACTTGGGGACACCAAGAGATGAGCACGGAGGGGCAATGTCCTTACAAAGCTGCGCAGGCTTCTGGAGTTGAAATGTAAGTTGGGGTCATGAAGATTGTCTTCGTGAGTCTTAGTGCCTATGAGAAAGCTGAAAATTCAGCCAGTGTTTTTCTCCCTGGAGCTCCAATGTGCTGTTGGACTCCTTTTTGTCTTACTTGGGTTGAACAAGTTCTGTGATTGATTTCAGTGAAATAAAGTCACTTGTTTCAGGATGAGCTTAGAAATGAAAATTCAATGACACCATAAAAAGGAAGAAAATGCTTGGGATGCTCTAAATAATGATGTAGAATCTAATACATTCTTAAATAAAATCTTGTGTTATGTAAAATGATGACCCCACTGTCGGTTAATGTTTATCTCATTTACATTCCATCACATTTGCACCTGAGACAGCACATGCTTTCTTCTTAGCAAAAGAAGCTTTCAGATAAACTGGAAGGTTTTCAAGGGAGAACAGCCAAGGTAATTAAGAGCTGAAAGAATTGATTTATGAGCCCAGATTAGAAAAGGTAAATGCATTTTGCTTAGCTAACTACAAATAAAAGGGGAGTAAGTCAATCAGCAGTAAGGACAAAGGAAACAATTAGGTTTTATGTAGAAATATGAAAGAAATTGTCATCTTTTACTGCTTCTCTCTCCTCCAAGCTTTCTTCATTCTTCATATATTAGGTAAAGCCAGAGGAATATTTTGTTAAGAGAAACAAGAAGCATCCGATATTGAAAGAAATGGAAGAATGCTGGAAATTTCTAAGGTGGGCTGGGACTTTGGTGTTCTAATCAGTCGGTTTGCTGGATAAAGCAGATTATCCCCTTGGTAATAGTTGTGTGAAGGCAAAGAAACACTAGTATGGGCCCTTCCTTATAGAGCTTTAAGGGGAAATGTTACTTCATTAGCAATTGTCACAACAATGAACATCACAGGAGCTTAATAAAATTGCATTTCAAAGTTTGATGATGGGATTTGTTTTGCTTTGTATGGCTTTTGGTTTCCTAAATGCTTTATTGATTTTTCCAACCTCTGCCTCTCTCCAGATAATGATTCACTTAATGGCCCGGAGCCCCGGGCTGGAAAGGGGACCCCACCAAGTGGGAGACTGGAGAAAGGGGACTGTCTGCTCGGGGCCGAGGCCCAGAGCAGCCTGAATGTAAGACTTTCAGCTCAAAGTCTCACCTTCTTCCTTGTCACCAATGAGAATGTACCAGCTGTGTGACCTTGGAGAGTCATTTGACATCTCTGAGTCACAGCACACTCCACTATACAGTAGGAAAGCAATTCCTGCTTCTCCGGGCTGTAGCAAGGCTGAATTCAATGAGCTGATGAGTACAAGATGCTTAGCCCAGAATTGGGTATTTAAACAAGCACCTCTTTTCAGAGGCAAGTAACTCTTGAGAGGAGTAGGTCTCCTTGCCGCCTCAGGTTGTAGGGGGTCCACTTGGGATTGCAGCTCTGTAGCCCCGGCCCCTGGCTCCTTGGGCCCAGTCAAAAGAAGGGAACATTTCAGACAGTAAAGTAATATTCGGGGATTGGAGGTAACTTTGGGCAACCAAAGGACCGTGGGTCACCAGAAAGGCCAGAAGAAGAAGAGAGGGGTTCAAGAGGAGGCTGGGACCAGACAGTGCCTGGCCCCTGTTTGCCAAGACCCAGGGAGCAGCCGAGATCCCTGCGGCAAGCGGCTGATGTCCCAGTGGTGTGGGGAAAGGCAGGCTCTGATTTTCATCCGTGCGCCCACGCCGGCCCAGGCTCTCCTCTGCCACGCACTGCAGTTTCCCTTCCTTCGCTCCCATTGTGAGGGGGAGGAGAGGAAGGAAGAGTGGGCAGGAGAAATAGAGAAAGTAGGGACAAAGACCAGGCAACTGGCCGCTCTCACCCCTCCCTCCCCTGCTCCCAGTTAATTCGGGAGGTGGAGCATTTGGGATAAATCTTACTCAGGAGCTTTCAGACTGGAGCCCCAGGAATTTCAGTCTGCTGTAGTTTGAGAAAAATGAGTCTTTGGCCATCACATGTTCAGTCTAGTAAGAAGACCGTCAACAGTCTGTGTGGTTAATTCATGGGGCATGTACACGTGTATATCTGTAAAATGTTTTTTTCTCCTTATAGAAGTTATGCTTTGTTATAGTAGATCTAGCAAATATTGAAAATGAAATGTAACTGGAGGAAAATTAAAACAACGTGAAATCATACCACCCAGAAACAGCCTCTGTAAATGTTTCTCAGGGCTCAGTGCGGCCTTGTTTTCACGCCAAGTGTGTGTTCCAGAGCATGTCCTGTGGCTCCTATTGTCCTGTCTCGCTTCTCCTTCCCTGGTCATTTCCGCCAACCTCAGGACTCCTGGCATCCTCTCCAAAGTGGCTGCCACACCTTTCTCCTGCCCTTGATTGCTCCTCGGCGTCAGGTCTGCTTGTCGCTCTGTCTGCATGCCAGACATGTGCCCAACGCCTCACACCAGGATGTTCCACACTGAACTCATGCTCCCCTCCGCTGAACGCTCATCTGCCCCCTCTCAGTCATCCCGGTCAGAATCGGCCCCCCATCTTGCTCAGCCACAATCCTTGCTAGTTTTTACAGCCAGAAGCTATGGCAACTTCTCTTCCTGGCACTGGAACCCTGGGCAAGGGGTGACTGTTTTGGGGCGGGGACCCCTTGCTCCTCAGAGGGGACCTCCACAGCTGAGGTATTCCCATTTTTATCTGCCACGCCACACGTGGGTGTGGAACCAGCCCATTCCATGTCTCTGCCCCTCTTAAGTCTCCATGTGACTTCTAATCCTTAATTGTAGGACTTCAAACTGTAATTTATGGAAAGGCTACTTATATCCCTCTATATCTTTTAAAGGCATTTTCCCAGACCTATCAAGTTTGCCCAAGTGCTTGCAAATGCATTGTTTAAGGAGATGAGTGACTTACAAGGAAACTGATGACTCACTTGTTGAAACCCTCTTGCGACTCCAGGCTGCCCTGGCGGGAGGCACCACCATGATCATCGATTTCGCCATCCCTGAGAAAGGCAGCTCCCTCATCGAGGCCTTCGAGACCTGGCGAAGCTGGGCTGACCCCAAGGTCTGCTGCGACTACAGCCTTCACGTGGCAGTGACATGGTGGAGTGACCAGGTGAACCGCCCGGGGGGGCCAGTTTCTTCCATTTAGTTCCCAAGTCCTTGCTCTGTGCACAATCAAGAAACTCGGTCATGTCAAAACACAAGAA